AAATGCTGGGAAATTCTTGAGTAGCTGCAAAATTGGCGGCTCCTCCAGAAGGGCTCAGCTCCATGAGTAAGTAAGTACAAACTATCCTACTCCATGGAGTCGAGTCCTTCATGAGAAGCCAATAGCTGTCCATACTCTCAAAGAATTTCTAGTCTTTTGTGAAACCAGAAGGTTAATTATTGTGTTCACAAGAGCCAGTCACTAAACCTTACCTAAGCTAGATGAATCCAGTGTGCAACATCTTATTCTGTTTTTGAGATAGATTCTAATATTATCTTCCCATCTATATCTAGGTCTTCCTAGTGGTCTCTTCCTTCAGTTTTCCCCACCAAGACGTTGTGGGCACTTCTTTACTCACCTATGTGTGCTGCACGCCCTGCCCACCTCGTCTTCATAAATTTGATCATATTCTCAAACATACTGGAAATATGAGGGGCAAAGAAATGTTCCTATCCGTGGAGAAACGTGTCTTGTGCCGCTTTTTGTGTAAAAGATTTACAAGTGTCCACTTAATCTGTGTATAAACTTCCAGGCCGATTATGAAAGATTACAAACTTTTACTGAATGGGTTTATTCTCCCTGATGATATCCATACGAGTCTGTCATTTTCATTCATGTCCACCTCTAAAGTTTCCCACATTCCAACCTGAAACCTGCTATAAACATGGCTGGGGCAACTCTACACAACAGTGACCAAATGTCCCTGTTGCTCAATTTAAATTTTTTTGTTATTACTAGCTCCTAATTAAAGGAGTGACACAGACTGAGGGTGTTTGAGAACAGGGTGTTGAGGAGAATATTTGGACAGAAGAGAGATGAAGTGACAGGAGGTTGGAGAAAACTGCATAATGAGGAATTTCATAACTTGTACTCTTCTCCAAGTATAATTAAAATGATCAAGTCAAGGAGGATGAGATGGGCAGGGCATGTAGCACGAATGGGGGAGAAGAGGAATGCATATAGGATATTGGTGGGAAAGCCAGAAGGAAAGAGACCACTGGGAAGACCAAGGAGTAGGTGGGTGGACAATATTAAAATGGATCTCAGAGACATAGGATGGGATGGATTGATCTGGCTCAGGATATGGACCAGTGGAGGGCTCTTGTGAATACGATAATAAACCTGCGGGTTCCATAAAATGCTGGGAAATTCTCGAGTAGCTGCAGATTTGGCTTCTCCTTAAGTAAAGCTCAGCTAAATAAGTACGTAAGTACTAGTCATAAAGATAATTCTAACTTAATTAGCATTAGAAATCGTTGCAATGTGAATATATACACCACGTCTACAGTTAGTTCTACGAATTTAATTGGTACGACTAAATTGCTGGGCAGTGGTGTCAAGCCTCCTGGTACTTAATTATATGAATGTTACGTACCAGTATTTCCTATTCGCGTATCTAACATCAGTGGAGTTGGGCATGAAAATGCCTGAACAACAAACATTTTAGGTTCTTAGCATCTTTTCGTACTTGTGCAAAATTGCATTTCATTTCACTTCATATGTCAATCAGGTATACGCCTACATATTGAAATCTTAAGAGGATAGCAATTTAAAGAATATATGAAGGTAAATGCTAACCTTATACAAAGGCCAATTATCTCCGTTACAATTTCTTTCTTCATCTATAATTAAAACACACACATGACATGATTAATAACCACTAAAACCATCACATTTCACAAAATACATATCCCTCATCACAACTTTCTTTTTCGCGGGAACATCTAAGAAATTCGGCAGATGGCAGGCAGATCCAGTGGAATAGTGTTGCCATCTACAGGATACTGTATGTACTGTGACGAGCGTTACAGGATTGTGCTGTGTGGTAATAGTGCTAAATTCCGGATATTGTAATGGTGAGCTGAAGAATGCTTACATTATAACATGACCTAATTATTATTAATTATTTGGCAGTTTTCACTAGAATCTTTGCAGTGACAGAATAGAGCAATCTTCGAGTGTTGGAAGTATGACTTCGTAACTCTATTTTAAACTTTCGAGTAGCGGTCACTAACGCTTCCTATGAGCAACAAGTGGAACAAGATGGATAGCCATGTGTTCTGTCCGTTATTATTATTTTGCCAAAGTTTGGACAGTGTAAATAAGTGTAGTTGTATTGTTTGATATGTCATATGAAGAAATGGTATGCGAATTTTGACATCAGCTTAAAAAATATATGGTATTTTATAGAATGAAAGAGCATGGGTTAGAGGACCTCAGTGAGAGAAGTTACCTACACGAGATGATAATATTAAAATGGATCTTGGTATGGGAGTAACAGGAATTGGATTCGGCTGTCTTCGATAGGGGTTCAGTGTGAGACTCTTCTGGCCACAGTACTGAGCCTGTTTTCCAGGACTAGCATGAAATTCTACTAGCTTAGTGACTACTGCCATCTCAACAAAGCCCGACCTTTTGAATTATTTTATTGACTTGCACCTTGTGACTTACTAACTTAATGACAGTGAAGTCCCTAATGTAATGGATTTTCACACAAAATCTGTATAAATTCTGAAGCTTTGCTTATTCACCATACATTTCCATGTCTCTTAATATTCTTCATGAATTCACCTGTGGTAACATTGCTTCTTTTCATACGGTAACAAAAGTTCTAATTTTGACAGCATCACCCTATAAAATATGCAAAAGTACGATCTCTTTCCTGTGAATACTGATTTTCATGGTCTAATTACCATATGACTAATATAAAGCTTTCTCCTTTTGTGCCTTTTTAAACAGTATGAAAATTACTGACACATATAGGCAACAGAGGAAACAGTTACTACTTTAAACACATAGGCACTTACAACTTGCACTTGCATTTAATACATTCATAGTTCTTGTATGATGTTTCTTTATGAGGAACTTTTGTATTATTATATTTTCTACGTGTGGGATTTCCATTTCTTTCTTCCAGTAGCTGACTGCTATATTATTTATGTTAGAGGTTTAAATTATTCTTCAATGTCTTTCATATTCTTATGGTGTCACATTCATACAGAAGGACGATATGTCTCAGAAATCTCATTTTACTTGTCGAAGATACCTAATTTAAGATAATGACTGTTTTCACTTTGAGTAAGTGCAGAAACATCTCCTCTGGAAAATCCATGATGGCACAAAAACTAACAAGTTAATATAAAAAACACTTCAATGACATCTTCTGAGGTGATCGGCCATATTAATGTGGAGCTGGTATCCAACACCTCAGAGATTGGCTGCATTTTCATCATTAAATGTTGATGTGATGTGTGTTGTGTTCGCATGCTGTTATTTGTCCTAACCCAGACTGCATGGGGAACATTCAGTGTGAATATGTTCCTAGTTGTTGGTCCTTCCTTACAGTGTTTTCCCCAAGTTCTGTTTTAATTCTACCACGCACAGACCATTTTACTTGATGTCTTAGAACTGCATAGGCAAAACAGACGCGAAGTCTGTGGGGCCCTTCATGACCATGGACAGGTGACACAGTTGATCACCTGAGAAGGCTTCATTTGGAAATGATATTGTTGAAACTAGATATAAGGTTATTTTTTAGTTTCTTCAGCTTATATTTTGAAACATTTGAAGACTTCATTTAATATTCGGATGTGCTTCTCGAAAAGAACATTCTCCAATATGAAAATAATCATTAACGCAATACATGTCTCCGTTTATATAGCTGACCCATTTACATGAAACAGTAATAATGATGACTGCCATTTGCTTTTATAATTGTATTTTGGATTCATGCTCGCTTTAAATTATATCACATATATGCAGATACAATATGGCATATCTCATGCAATAAGGATTTTGCTAGTTAGAAAAATAATAAATTTAATAAAAGTTTAATTTACCTTAGAATGATGGTACCAATGCCTCTTTCATTAATATGATAGAATAACCACACAGTTGAGGATGTCAATACTGAGGCCACTCAAGTGCAATATACTGAATTTCCAAACCTCTCCTATGGTACTCGTCTACTAACAATTCAAAATTTCACATCTCACTTTAGCTACCCTTTGTTATTCCTTTCTAAGTTACCTTCTTCAGCCAATGTAGTGACAAACATCCAGTTTACTGAATTTAGTATTTACTGCAGTACACAGCAGTTAGTTCCTGGCTTCCCACTGCAGCAGCCCGGGTTCAATCCCGGGTCTGGTCAAGTGGGGATTTGTGGTGGACAGTGGCACTGGGGCAGGTTTTCTCCAAGTATTTCAGTTTCCCCTGCCAATCTTCATTCCACCAAATTCTCCATCATCATAATCACCCATGGCAGGCTACAATACACCAATCAGTGGCCGCCGTGCCAAGTGGACCCAGTTGGACTCCACCCCCCACTAAGCGAATTAATTGCTGCAGTACATAACTTCTGAACAAGCGATTTTTGGAGGAAATTCAAATGACATAAGCTTATTTTCCAGTTGCCAAAAAATTTAACACAAACATACTTTTTTTAACATGGCCAACCTAACACGTGATGGACCACCTTACCAACGAAGGATGGACACACATTCAGATTCAAAATGTATTTGAAGATGAGAAGAGCCAACCCTTCTCAGCAGCACAAGCTACGTAGTTACTCTTCTCTCGTTTCCTACTAGTTCACCCTCGTTCTAAGGGAGCCAATGGGAACTGACAGGTTGTCTTCCACATTCTCTTCTGTTTTTATATAATCCTACATTTTCAGCATGCCATTGCTATGGTTGCTGTCTGCTTCATTTTGATTTCTTGCTTGGCTTACTCTTTGATGCCTGGAGGTACCACATTCCTCCAAAACGTCTGTTGACTTTCACCAGGCTACACAGTTTTCTTTTATCACAGAAGAGAGAACTTGTGCCATTGCTGCAATACCCCTAAATCCAATGTGTTATGTTCTATTTTGAATACTACTCGTAGATCATGTACAAAGGACTGAGATATAGCAAAGTGCTCTGCAAAGAAAGGAAGACACTACAGGGGAAAGGTGGTAAAGGAAAAGGGCACATGAAAAATTAAATGAAACTACAGAGACAAAAATGAGCATGCCACTGTATTTTTTGTTCCTTAAATGATTAAAAAAACTAAAATGGCATGCAACTGCTATTGTCTTGAGTTCTTCTTTCCAGCAATGTGCCACCTGTTGTTACTGTATGCCAAATCATGAAAAGAATCGTCTATTAATACATAAACTGGCTACCTAAAATGGTACTAAAAATGTGACGCTTCCAATTATTCCCTATATTGTGCACAAAGACAACAGTTCAAAATTTGAATGTGCTGAAAACTTTTGAAGTATTAAAGGCATAGGAATAATCAACCACATTCATAAACGAGATTTATCTTCTTGAAGTTTCATTGTGCAATGGATTGTACAAAAAGTCACAGAAAAACTAGCCACTATTAACATTGAAATAAATAAATGGATAAATGATAAAGCATATTATCAAATGATAACATAATTTAGCTGATATATTACAACTCTGGTGTGTCTGGAAGACATCGGGAGTACTTGGAGTATTTGCAGTCAGTTCATGCTCTCATATGAAACCCTTCCATCTACCAGTTCTATCGTCCACATAATTTTAAGATGGAAACTGAGTCGTCAAAACTGTCATTCTAAAATAATAATAAAAAAAACTAATTTTCTGAATAAAAAAGAGAAAAATCTCTTCCTTAACAACAACAATCTTCTAAGAAATGAAGTTTATGCCACCTGAATACAAACCAGATAACCAATATACAAGAAAACGATGGGCAAATACTTATGTTACAGTTACATGTTTATTGCTCCAATACAAAAGCAGGACCAGTTCTTCACAGTTCCTGTCTAGCTCCAAAAATGCCACTGTATTATTTGCTTCGTTGCCAAAAGACTGGGTTCTTGCAAATTTACAGTCAACAATGCATTTGCCCACAAAATATAATATACAGTAACTCTAACAGTCTGTTTTATAATTAAAAAAAATTGCATATAATTTCTATTTTAGAACTTCATCACAGATTCCTAGTCAATTCAGGACGTAATCATTACAGAATTTAGTCCCTTAAATTTATAGCATTTAAGACTAAATTACAAAGCGGAATGAAATATTAAAGTACTGTTTTATTTTTAATCCTGATCACTGGCAAAGTTTTTTTTTTTGTTTGAATTCAGATTTTACTGTATCCTAGATGAAGAAGGATGCTCCATATACTGAAGTGTCTAAAAAACAAACATTTTCACAACTTTATATAAATACTCTGTGAAACGAATATGGCTACAATCTCTCATAATTTTAGACACCATGCACAATGAGCAGTCTGAATATCTAATGCACATTGCTCTAAGAAGCACAATTCTTCATTAAGAATAGCAAAGTATTATACCAGGACCTTTCCATTTTGAATGCCCAAAATAATATGTATCCGCATTTATGTTTCTGTTTTTATGAAACGAGACTCAAATCTTTACGGAGGTAAATGAAAAATCCCTCACAATCAACAGTCATACCGCCTTCTACAATTACAAACAAAATATTGTATCACGTCAGTTTGTTCTTTGAAATAGCCGCCTGTTAACATTATGTATGCAGAATCAAGAATGAAGGAAAAGGTACTATGTGTACAGGCTTCACCGCATGAGAAACGAAGTAACATTTCCTCATTTATTTTAATCATTCATCCATCCAGACAGACAGACATATGACAACGGAAGCAATGAATCTTTTACATTTTGCATTATAACACAACTTGTGCATCACGTAACTCTCTCACACACCCACGCACACTCACGAGCCCTGGCTTCACGTTCACATTTTACGGTATTGTACAATTCTTACATTGCTATAGTATTTCATAATAATCGATCATGCAGCATAATTTAGGTGTCAGTACCCATTTGCTTGAATCATGTCCTCTTGTTCTATTTTAAATAACTTGATTATTCACCACACTGGGTTGTTCACTATCATTTAAATGTGGTACACAGAGATGGCAAAAATCCACAATTTCAACTCCTGTTGTGTGAACAAAGATGACATCAAACTACAACTGAACATGTTGATTGTTGGTAGATCACATCTGCATTAATATTAAGCAATGGAAGCATTTTTACACATCAACTGTCAGTTATTATTTTAACTTCAATGCAGATTGCTTCTCGATATTAACAGCAGCAAATTTACCATACAGAAATGTGGGCAACATATAAATTAAANAAAAAAAAAAAAAAAAAAAAGACTTAATATCGAAGGACTGGGACTTGGTGATGTTACTTGTAAATGCGTCAAAACATTCGTCCTGTGAAAAAGCTACAATTTTTCTAATACAGAATTATATTTTTTTCCTTCCACTGTCTTTTATATTGCTCAAATTCATTGCAATTCCTGTTCCCATCAAGTTCTTTATTCTTTGCCAAACTTCTTCCCGAGACTGGTATAAAAATCTGTCGGCGCATCAAAATAACTCTACACAAAGATCAATTTGCTTACTTTTGCTCAATCTGGGAAAAGTTCCAGAAAAGAATAAATAAAAATATGTATAAACTAAATATAATGTTTCCTTGTAATAATGAACTGAAAAATGAATGATATCGTTATGGCAACACTATTTTATTTTTATGAAAATGTGTTTTTTTCACCTTGCATCTATTTTTGAACAAACGGTGCATGGCAGCAAAAAAATATATATTCTACCCACTGTGTATAAGCACTCCCCACGATTTCCGTGATTCACTGTTTGCGACATTTATCAATCACTACTGTTCAATCACAGATAAGAGGACACACTTCTAGTGTCACCATCAGATACACCCTGCCCTTGTAACTCCTATGGGGAGTACCTTGATCTTGCATGTCTCCGACATTTGTTGCTCAACTCCTTACCAAATGAAGCAGGATGTAGGAGGCAGAGGCAGCCTGCTCTGGTCTTGAATTTCAATCTGTTAAGGCTTTCATGTGTCCAGTCAATAGCACTTCACATTATACTGAAACAGTGCATGGGAAAATTCTAGTTTAGAGCTGAAACATTATAAATATCAGTTATTTTTCTTCTCCTTTCGCCTTACATTAGTTTAAATCACACTGAAAAGAAGACGTGATATAAGGTTTCATAAAAATTACAATGTTCTATGACTTGTATGAATATCAATGAAGAATTTCAACAACTGCCACGTTTTCAAGAATGTTCATTTCTGTGGTGACCAGAGGCAGTTTTCACCCACACAGGCTTACAGTATACAATTCAAATGGGGTTTTTCCTATAGATTTCTGACTTCATAATTCTTCTTTTATACTGTAATCTGTCAACTAAATTGATTAGTTTATTTATTATAAAGTTTATAAAAGTTTTTTCTGTTGCAGTATGCTATGCATTTTACAAACTTTGTCTTCATTACAATTACAGAAAGATATTCTGGTATACCAAAACTACCTTCAAAAAGATACTTATGAAGAACATCATATGCACAATGGTAGAAATTGTAAATGAGTAAATGTCTGACAGAGGGATCTGAGATGGGTCAAGGCTGAAATAAATTCAGCAGTCTAGATGAGTAATGTTACCTGATGAGTTTGTTGCACCATGCCTGTATGCTAGAACTTGTCCTGGAAGAGGAACAGGTTGTTTGTGGCTGCCACTGCAATGATATTCTCTGTAGGGTGCCATGCTGTGTGCAGAATCTTTTTATTAAAGTCAAGGCAGTCCACACTGATCTCGTCCTTCTTACGTTTTCCTCCTGTACAAACCTGTGCATAATAATAATTCAATTCAATTAATTTTTAAGTGCAAACTTAACAGCACAGGCGCCAATTACAGACTTAGCATTAGTACATAGAAATACACAAAAATAATTAAAAAACAAACATAAGAGCCATCCACATAACACCAGGTTTTTGTGGTACGTAGGTTCAATACAAAGAAACTACAGTATGCGCCAAAAATGCAGCACTGAAACTCACACATCTCAAACGCGCATGTGCATTTGTCGACGAGGCATAGCTCCAGCCGCACGTGTTCCCAGTAGTGAAAAGGAAGTTGTGTGCAGCTGTTCTTGGAAATGGGTCTCTCGACGGAGGAAAAAATATTCATAGTTGAGTATGTTATTGCCAGACAACCTGCTTCCATGGTTTTGAGCAGCCAGATGTTATCGTCCAGAAACCGCTACATAGTACACGTGTGACGATATGGTGTGCCGTCTCAGCACACAGTATATTAGGCCCCTATTTCATTGAGGATGAGGAAGGCAATGCTCTTACCATCGCCCAAGAATGCTACAGGGACATGGTGACAGGACCATTTCTTCAGGATTTGAGAAAGTTCTGTCATGCAAGGGGCCTTCACATGAATGGACAGTGGTATCAACAGGTCTTTTCATTTCAGTACTGTATACTTTGGCGCATACTATACTTTCAATGCTTATGTCAGTTCAGCTAATACTGCTACCACTAATGATACCACCATTACTGCATCATTATTATTTCTGCTCTCAATCCATTTTCTTATTTTATATTTCAGCTTCCAGGTAACTTCATGGGGGATAAATTTCCATAACATAGTAAAATATCACAGCCCCAATTTAAAAAGGGAAGGAAGGTGGACACCACTGGTGCTGCAAATTGTACCAAATTTGCAGAAATGAGTGGCTCTGAATGTCTAATTGTAAGTTGTCCACTGTGTAGAATTATACACATTAATTTATACCCAAATATTTATTCAGTTCAGTTAGTTCGTTATATCGTAAAATATTTTCCAATTTAAATATTAAAAACAGGCATTTTTACATTCATATCACCCACCATTTGAAAATGGTAAGATACCACCACAACTGAATTTGATAATCCATAGAATGGCCATCAAATTCTCCACATTTAAATTCATCATCATGTCTGGTACAGACTTCAATGCTCGCTGTATGAAAACTTAACCATCATTTAATTCCCCAAAAATACTGCAAGGAGGAACTGAAAATCTGTCACCTCCTGCATTATAACACATGATGTACAACCGACCAAGGAAAAGGGCAAGAAGCCATAATACAAGAAAAGAGTCATATTCAACATCAATTCTATCATTACTGACTATTCTTTGAAATATATTGATATGAACTTACTTTTCTAGGTTTGAGTATGGTTTTAGGTTTTGCAATGTCCCGTGATGCCTCAAGGGTAGCATCCCTCTTTGTTGTGCGGTCAAACATCCTAAAGAAGTTGTTGTATGATCCAGTCATGATAGCGGAGTCACTGCCATTCCAACAACATTCAAATTTGTCGAAGATGCAGTCATTTTCGTACAATGAACACAGTTTCGAACGCAGGTACTCATGCACCTGGCAAACAAAAATTAAAAGAAAATTCCAGTAATAAGTGGCAAAGTGATTGAGAAGAGAAAGAACAGTTCTGAATATTTAAAACTCAAAGAATAATGTAGGTAAATAAAGCATAACTCATTACATACCTACAATACACATTTAGTTATAACACCGAATACTTCTTCTGCTGGTGACAAAAGCTTGACAGGACTCCTGTTCTTTGCTATACACCAGTGGTTCTCAACCTTTGTGAGACCGCAGCCCGCTAATTTCTTTCTTTATAAGACGAGGGCCCAGTATAATTGATGCCATGGCCCGGAGGTTGAGAAACACTGCTATACACTGTGCTATTCTCTCCAGTACTGTTTCTTCTAGTTAACAATGATAGCTGTTTACAGTACTTTTCATCAGAGATCACCTCAGTTTTCATATCACATCGCCCCTTTGTATTTTAAGCTTACTGAAGGTAATACTTTTAATAGAATAAACATATCCATCCTAACAACATGCCCAGCCCACTTCAACTGACCAACTTAATTATATTAATAATATCTCAGCCATTAAAAATGTAATGTAATTCATTATATGTTCCGACTGCCCATTTCTATTCTTGTGAAGCTGACATATCTGCAAGACCATTATTTAATAAATATGGTATCTTTTAATTTGTTCTCAAAAACTAATATGTGGGATTAAACATTCACCTGTTCATTGAAATGATCTAACTACATACAGCAACATCCCACTTACACATTCTTGACCTTGGCACTAAAATTCTACACTTTCAAAAATGTTTTCTTTTGTTACCTCTAGGACTGGAATAATGTACAGAAAGTGTAACAGTGCATGAAAATGTGTTTACATATTACATTCAACCAATATTCACAGTTAGACTCCAGATAAGCACAAAAATACACAAAAGTCTTCATGTGAAATGTCTACTAGTGGCAGAATTTTAACCAAAATTGAAACGTCTCCATAAATTTTTGTAGAGCTTCCAAATATCACATCTCATTAAAATCTGTTCAGCGATTATAGAGCAGCTACAAATTTTTACATGTGAATACACTGAAAATGAGTAGAAATTCTTTACTTACTGGATAAGATTCTATAGGTTTTGTCTCCATGTGAAGATCCCACACTTTGACAGAGAGATAATCCCTAGATATCATGTATCGACCAGAGTTGGACAGCTTCACGTCTGATATACTAGAGATAATCTCCGAGAAGAAACTTCGATTAGTTGGATCCTCCGGTTCTTCAAACACTGCAACAAGATAAAGAAGCAGTCAAAATATTTATATCATTCGCATGAGTATGGAGCACTGTGCACTTCTGGAAGTTCAGATCCTACACGATTAAATTAAAATTCTAATGTATCAATAATCCACCTCTTACTGTTTCAAGCACGCTTTCCTTACTATAATTATTCAACTACGACGATCCTCCTTTCACAGTTAGAAGTCTTAAAGGAAAACCCAATTAGTTGTCTGCATCAAATTCTTATGTATAATAATCAAGCACAAACTTAAATCATTTTCACCATCTTTTCATGACTTGCTGTAGGCAATGTTATCCGGTGAAACACATATATCAGATATTGGTGTACCCTCAATTGTCATATAATATCCCAAGAAATAGAATATCTGCTGGATGCCATGCAATTATTACTCTCTTTGCAATATCTGATACACAGTCTCTCACAATTGCAATGTGTGACTTATTAAACTTTCAAAACAAGAAGATTCTTATACATACTTAAAACACAGAACCTTTAAAATCAATCACATAAATTATGTATAAATGTTCAACATTGCATTAATTTCATACAACATATCTTACATCAGTTAAAGACCATAACAAAGATCACTGTCCAACAACAAGTTAAATAACATCTGTCAATCATGGAATAACAGAAACTTGTGTATTCACAGAGTATCAGATGATATTATTGATGCTTCACGAAGCATCGTCTCTTTGGTTAAGTGGTAGCATACATGCACTTAGATTCACATCTGACACATACTGCATAATTATGAAACATACCAAGTACAGAAAACTGAATAAACTGCATGCAAGCCTGGCGAAAACGGTAACAAAAATCTACACCAGAAGATTACTACTTTTCAAATATTTTCATATGGCTGTGCAAGTTTAGACTTTTGCCACTTTGCCAGATGTCCATTTCTCCAGCACTTTTCTCTCTTTTCAAACATCAATCGCCCCCCAAAATTTCTGAATAAAAATTAAATCACTTCATACTTAGGCAAGTATATTTTATAGAAAATAGTTACAGTATTATTTGTTATAACTGAACAGGATTCAAACCTGGAACCCTAGGAACAAAAGCATTTATTTCCAGATTGAAGAGAGGTCTGTAATCTATTTACTCAGAACTGAGCTTGCCCCTATATACAAGCAACAATCTTACAGATTACTTACATTTCGAATGCCTGTCACACAGCGCTGCTGCTCTCATGTCACACAGTCTGATCGTACCCTTACTGCTACTGTAGACGAATAAGTTGCACTCCACAGGGTGGAATTCTGCCGCTGTTATCACTTCCGTCAGTTCTTCCATATTTGTCGGCTTAATGTCAACAATATCTGAGGTTATTGATGTAAAGGAATGCATTTAAATCACAGCTTAGTTTCTATAGAATGATCAGTGAAATTTAAAGAACAGTGGACAGAGAATACATTTTGCGTATGGTCTCTGCAACTCTCTTGCACTAGAGCACACAGGGGAGTGGCAGTTGAGCGCCACACAAATTTTCGCCCTCAGGAACTAAATGGCAGTCAGTACCACACTCTTTGATATTTTAACCTTGCCGAAATAGCAGCAGCTATCCGCTAAATTACAGTCTGACCGGGTACCAGAGTCAGTCTGAAAATGTCATACGTAGGAGAGAAATCTCTACCCATACTAGGAATTAACTACTGGTCATCCTGACCTAAGCAAGCTACTTTACTCAGAAAACACAAGTCCATTGGAAGGCATCAAGTTCAAATAGTAAATGAGGAATAAGCTATCATGAACAGGGTCTCCATGGTTTCGCTCCGGCTTCCCTCATTTCATTTGATGCTACATAATCTCTGAACTGTACGCTGCACTGCCAAAACCTGATGAAAGGAAGAAATAAGTGAAGTATAAATACAGGAGAGAAGGAAGACAGAAAAAGAGAAAAATACATAAAAAAACACATCACATTCTAACCCTTTGAATTGCTGGCTGCACCATAGCTCAAGTGGTTAGTCACTGGCTTTCCAACGCGGTGGCCCGAGTTCGATCCCAGGTCTGGTCAAGTGGGATCTGTGGTGTACAAAGTGGCGCTGAGGCAAGTTTTCTCAGAGTACTTCGGTTTCACCTGCCAATCTTCATTCCACCAGCTGCTCTATAATCACCCTCACCTATCATCTGGGGCTGGTACAAGAGGCCAGAAGTGGCCGCTGTACAACGGACTTAGTCCCACCCCACTAGCAAATAAAAAAAAAAACCTTCAAATTAAATTTAACAAACTGTGTATAGGCAAACTAAGATAAAGTTTCCACTGTTTCCTAAACTGATGAAAAATCATCATTAAAACCAACAGCTAATTTCCTAGACACATAATTCAGAAACAGAATAAAGGATACTGAAACTCTGATCAGTGATTTCTAGATGCCAAAGATTAATCCGTAGATCATCTGCTGATAAATACGTTTCTTGATCTGAATTAACACTAATGGAATTGATGTGATACGTGTGCGCATTGGCAAATATTCTTCTAGGGGATGCTTCAACCATTAATTCCATAGGTTTAATTACTGGTACCTGTAAAATTGAAAATCACAATATTATAAAAATCAAACTATCCCTTACATCTAACATACACTTTTATGGCATGCAATGGGTAAAAACACTGAGCTGGGATCGCGCAGTCAGTATTGTGACTAGCTATGGGTTGGATGACCGAGGGATCAGAGTTAGAGAAGGGTCAATAATTTTCTCTACTTGACGTCACCCAGACAAGCTCTGGGGTGTACCCAACCTCCTATGCAATACATATCAGGGGCTCTTTCACTGAGGGTAAAGCGGCTGGGGTGTGAAGCTGACCCCTGACATCCAGCTACTGCTGAGGTCAGGAAAATGTGGATCTATACATTCATTCCCCCATACACCATTATGGCACAGTGCTTAATTAGTTAAGCACAGGGACAACTTTAATTTTTAGACAGTAAAAACTTCCAGTCAGAGTGTCACAACTTCACTTCCTGTACCTGACCAGTGAAGTGTTGCAATTCATGCCTGACGTAGAGGAACCTACCAAATAGATTCCACAACTGTCATGGAAAATATTTCCATTCATTTGATCAACCTGCAGGAGCAAGGAAAGTGCTCAAGGAAAACCAGCTGGTCAGTCGATAGATAAGTATAACTGGTAACAAAAATAAATCTTTTTACATTTCAAGTCTTCACATCAGGCCCAACATTTTTCTTTGATGACACACCTTGTCCACACTATCAGCTGTAGTTTTGCATGACTGGAAAGTAATGCGATAAACCAAGCGACAAGCAACATCACAATGAATCTTACCAAACCACATCAAATGTACGACTTTCCGAACAGTATATAAGCTCAGCCGCTGTGGATTTTATTCCTGCCACTACATCTTCTAACTCTGGAGACTAAATTTTGCGTTGATACCATCTATTATATGTAATAAGTGAATGTATGAGATCTACTACGTAATACTGTGTAGCACTAATCCTCAAACTTCCACATAAATGTTTCGATGCAATGCGCACAGTATTTTGCTAACATTCATTCTACAAACAGCAACACAATGTGAGGCTACAAAAATATCTATTTTTTAATATATATACGAGGGGGTTCCCAAAAGAAACTGAACTTATTTTTTTTTAAACTTATTTATTCAAATTTTAAGCACAAACCTTCAATCCCCTTCAAAGTACTCTCCACTTACACTAATACACTTGTCTAGTCTTTTATTCCATTTTTCAAAACATTGTCTAAATTCATCTTTTGAGATGCTTGACAGCGCCTCCGTCATTTTTTCCTTCCCATCAGCAACA